GGGGAGAGGGGGGGGCTGCTCTGTCACTTTTCCAGTGCGAAGGCTCCCAGGGCTCCGGCTGCTGCTGCTGGCTGGAATTGGGGATTTCACTCTCACACACGCCGGTGTAACGTAGAAAGCGCCTACTTGGGAGATTGTGCTACTTCCTGATCACTGAGCATGCCCAGATGTGCTGTGTGCTCAGTTCTTTTGCAGCCACTGCCCTTCTCTCTGCACGGACGAACTGTGAGTTTTTGCGGAGTTCATTTTAAAGCGTTTTGAAAGGGAGAAAAGTGGCTGAACAGAAAAGGGGCCTTCACAGTGACTTGGCAGGGGGGTGCAGCAGATGCAGGCAGGCTTAGATCTTTTCTGGGGCAAGCTCATGTCTGGTGGCGGGAGGGGCGCCAGCTAACCCCCTCAATACAGAGTCCAAAGCCAGGGCATGGTCATAGCTGGCGGGTTAAAAACAGCTTTCAAAGTGGGAACGAGGGACAAGTCCACGTGGGGTCATGGCACAGTGGGGTTTTGATGTGTTTAAATATGTTTTTTGCCATGTAGTCACTTTGGAGTCACTGAGCATGCTAAGTAGGGCGGCGGGCTCCTTCACTTCTGTCTGCCCACACTCGCTGTACGTTTTTGCTCACTATTTTTAAACCAGTTTAAAAAGGGAGGAAAATGGCTCAACAGAGGAGGTGTCTTAATGTTGACTTGGCAAGGGGGTGAAGCAGATGCAGACAGTTTTAGGATGGGTTCTGGTGCAAACTCAGCTCGGGTGGGGGGTGGGAGCATCACAACACAAAGTGCAAAGCCCCAGCACAGGCACAGCTGGAAGGCTAAAAACAGCTTTCCCAGTAGGAACAAGACACAAATCAAAGTGTGGTTGTGGCATAGTGTCTTTTTTTTAATTTTCTTAAACTTTTTTTTTAACCCTTTGCTCACCTCAGGCACTGAGCATGCTCAGTATTGCTGCAGGTACCCTTGCAGTTTTCCCTGCCTATTCTATCTATAGGGTTTTGCTTACTGCATTTCAAATTAGTTTCACAATATAAAAAGGGTACTAGAGAAAAGACCTGACGTTTCATTGCATTTCTCACATTTCCCTTGTCTTATTCCTGGGACTCACTGAATTGCAATGTCTTGTACTGTAAGTGCAATACACAGTGTTGTTGGAAAAGATACTTAATTCCAAGTCCTACTACATTAAAACAAATGTAAGCAAGTAAAAGTCAAAGTAACCTTCTCTAAAACTACTTGAGTTAAAGTACAAAAGTATCACATCTTCATAGTACTTAATTATTCAAAATTAAATATGAGGTGTCTTATGGAAACTATGCTTAACCATCCAAGTTCTTGCAGGTCTCCATACACACACACACACACACACACACACACACACACCCTCCCTCTCTCCATACAAACTTATGATATAACAAATTATATGATGTTATATACACATATATACTATACATTTTTCAATGATGGAATTTGAATGTTGCAGGTCTCCATACACACACACACACACACACACACACACACACACCCTCCCTCTCTCCATACAAACTTATGATATAACAAATTATATGATGTTATATACACATATATACTATACATTTTTCAATGATGGAATTTGAATGTACTCACTGCCTTCATTTATAAAGAAGAGTGACCAAATTAAATACCATACTCAGATTACAGAAATGTATTTATTTTGTCCACATTCACCATGTACGTTTTTAGCATTTTTCCATTAATTTCCCAACTGATTGTTCAACTGATAGATGATTTTTTATCCAAATTATCACAGTCAATCTTTGATCTTCTAGGAAAAAAATACAATTCCATCACCACTGAATATTCTCTCCCAGTCAGCTGATGCCAGCAGAGGTCTGTTGGTCCTGATACACAGCTCCCTAATTTAGGAAAAGACTCCATCAGATCCATGGTCTCTCCTGAATAGGCCAGATACCCATCAAGCTTCTTTGCAGTTTCATTTGTCTAAGATGACACAGTCTCTTACCTTTTCTAATCCCAGTTTCACGCTTATTCCAAGTGGTCCTAACATTTGTCATCAAGATGTCAGCTGCTATCAGCTCCATGTTCTCAAATATTTCACCTAAACACTTCTGAATGGCACACTGGAGTCCATCTAGCAGTATCCTCTAGGGGGCATCTTTTTCTCTCTGGAGTTCTGAAATCTTCTGATATAATTTAGGCAGCATCCAATGCATTAGGCTTAGTGCTCAAAAACTTCTTCTTGAAAAACACATCCACACCTCAAAGCACATTGCTATGGCACAAGAGAGCATCTGCCAATTGTGTTCTTGCAGAGTGAAGGGGCCAGAAGTGGGTGGTGGCCACATCCCAGAGGTAGAACATAAGCCCACTCTCATTCTCTGTTTTTTGTGTTTCTTTCTCTCCTTCTACAGGTTGTCCAGGCCATCAACTCCCTGCTGCTGTGCAGAGTCATCCAGCTCAAGAACCCAGATGTCACCATGGGAGGCTTTTCTGAGTTGGGGTTCCCCAACTGCACGTGAGCCATTGATGGCACGCCTTGCCCATCCATGCACTGGAACATTGTGCAGTCATTTGTCAACTAAAAGGTCTAGTTCTCGATATTCCTGCAGTCCCTGGTGGACCACTGGGGCCATTTCATCTACATTTATGTGGAGTGATCTTGCAGACATCATGATGCCCAAGAGTTTCAGAACTCCAGCCTGTGTGCCCAGTTGGAACCCGGTGCCTTTTTCCCCTAATGGGAATTTCCGGTGATCAACCAGAGTATGCCAGTGTGCATAGCTGGGGCACTGCACACCCACTAATGCCCTGGTTATTGTGCCTTACAATGGCCAGCTGGATCACACCAAGAACACTTTGAGTAGTTGCCTGAATAGAGCTCGCCTGCAGGTGGAGTGTGCCTTTGGGTGTCTGAAAGGGCAGTTCTGCTCTCTCCTCACACGCATGGACGTCGAGGAGCAGAATATCCCTGATGTGGTGGCAGCCAGCTGTGTGATCCACAACCTGGTGAAGTGCAAGGGGGAGACTTTCCTCCTGGGGTAGGTGGCAGAGGCAACCTGTGAAGGCCATGGCTTGGAGCATCCCTTGACAGCTGCGACACAACAGTCCCCACAGGCCAGGGATGTGCACCCAGAAAGCCCCGAGGGAGATGTTCTCGAAGGAACCATTGTAAATCTCCCCAGGGCCTCCACCCTCCCTTCTCTCTCCGTTCCCCCTCTCACTCACTCCCCTTTTCCCTACCCCAATCTCCCAGTAAATACTCCTGCTTGGTTTTCAAATCAAATACCTTTTAACCAAATGCCTTTTTTTTAAATGGAAATGAACGTTAGCCAGTGACCGGAGGGGGGGTGGGGGATCATAACTGTGAGGAGTGTTGGCCCAGCTTGCTGAGCCCCCTCAGGGGCAGGGACATAGTCGGGGTTGGTCTGCTCTGGGGACCCTATTGGGGTGGACATGATGCGCAGCTGGAGCAGTGGCAGGGGTGGCAGGAGGAAGGGCCATGGGATGTCCCACAGTCATGACTAGGGGATCAGTCATGGCCATGGGTAAGAGAGGAAGCAGAGGCATGGTCTGGCCTGGTGAGGGAGGAAAGGCATGGCCGGATGGATGTGCCATCTGTATAGGAGGGTAGTCATGGGGGTGTAAGGTGGTAGCAGCGGCAGATGGCACCTGTTCCCCTGTGCAGGACAGGATGCTGCAGAGGGTGTCACAGCATGCCATGAGGTCACCCCAGGCCTGCTGCACCACTTCAGTTTGGCATTCAGGTGGTGCAACAGGGTGGTGTGGATGTCATGCATCACCCCTGAGTACTGGTGCATCAGCTCCTCTCCAGGCCTGGCTAAGGTTACTAGGTAGCAGGACACTTCATCAGGGGCGGGGGAGTGTGAAGGGAGCAGCTGGGAGCAGAGTGGGGCTGGCTGGGAGGAGGGGGAGGCGGGAAAAGCAGGGGAGGTGGGGGGAGGGAGAGCAGGCAGTGGGGCTGGCTGGAGGAGATGGGGGTATGTTGGGGGCAGCAGGGCTGGCTGAGAGGGGGTCAGGAGGGGGGGAATGGCC